ACCTATCTATTTAAAAACAGGGCCCCGCCCACGTCCAATGGCTGCCAAGTTGTCTATAAATGACAACGTCGCTCCTGTATCAAACACAGAGGATGCAGCTGCAGTTGTCAACAGACAGTCACCTCCTCAGTCTGGATGGAGAAAGAGCCAGAAGTTTACTCTGAAGATTCAGGATCAGATCCTCTGCAGAGCAGCAGGATGCACAGCCCGACAGGTTGGTTAAATATAAAACGCCAAATTAAAATAAATTCATTCAATTATACCACCTGTGATCAGTTTAAACTCCATCTTCATTTATATTTGAACATGTTTTAGCACTTTCTGCTCTCTCTCTAAAAAAAAAAAAAAAACATCTCCAGGTCATTCACGCCCAACTGGAAAGATCCAGGTGCTGGGCGACACAATCCAGTTCTCTGTGGATGTGAGTGAATTCTGTCCAGAGGATGTGATCGTCACCTCCTCAAACAACCTGCTGGAGGTCAATGCTGAGAAGGTGAGTCACTCCACACTCTGTGCTGAAACTGTTTGTACTGCATCAGTATTTTTATTTTAATGAGGCGAATTATGGGTGTTGACTTTGAACACTTTTCTAAAGCCTAGTTTTACAGACATCCTGCAGACACAGTTCAATGACTGGTGTGTTGTAAACCACAATAAAACAATAACAACATTAAACTAATAAAGCCATTAAAATGACTAATAAAAGTTTTTAAAATGGCGCCAAATTAACCGCTTTGTCTGTTTGATTTTCCAAACAGCTGGGAGTGGACGGCACAGTCACTAACACGTTTTCCCACCGGTGCACGTTGCCGTCAGACGTTGACCCGGTGTCTGTGAGCATGTCTCTGGGGAGCAGCGGGATCCTGACCGTCACAGCTCACAGGGTTTGTTCTCTCTGAGTGTGTGGTTTAACCAGTAACACGTACGTGTTTTTTAAAAATTGTTTTGGTGTTGTTTTAAACGTTGTTTTACTGTTTATGTTTGGTTTTCTTAGTTACAATGTCTGCACTAAACCACTCAGTGGCCTGGACTTTGGCGCCCCTTAGCGGCAATAAACTGAGAAGACCCAGCCGGAAGTCAAGTTTACATCGTGTCCGTTATTTCCTGCCCATTCATTTGCGTTTGTGTATTAGCTTAAAGACAATAAAAAGTATTTAAATAATGTGTATTATTGAGTAAAAACAACAGCTTAGATATTTGTACCGAACAATTCTGTTGTAACACAATGACAAAACGCTAAAAACACAGACAAAAAAAAACAAAAAAACAGTACAACCTGTAATATTGTCTTGGTTAGATTGGTTAGCAGGTTAGCTAGTTTCTTTTCTTCTTTCCAAATGTTTATCAATTTTACCACAAACTCGCAGCTATAACACATGTTTAATAATCTTTACATCTGATGTGATTACTTTTAGGAGATATTTATAAAATATGAATAAAGTTCAGTGTTATCTTAAAGAATAAAAACCTGAATCTTTCCACACATTGGATTGTTTTATTCTATATATTTCTTTGCAAAATCAATCCTGGGGGAACCAACAGCCACTAATGTTCTACAGAATAAAATCACAAAAGAAATATTTTACAAAAAGGTTTCAAACAAATCAAAAAAAAAAAAAAAAGATTTATTTGGCATCTAAAATATCAGGAACAAACTGTAACACTTGACTTTGGCCTACACATTATTGTGGTAGGCTATTTTTTATTTGTAATATATATTTTTAGATTGTTTTATGTAATTAAAAAATCAAAACGTTATCTATTAAAATGTTTTTTTTCGTTCCGTATATATTTTTCCATGCAAATTTATAAGTACTTCAGATATTTTACAATATGGTCATAAGACAAGAGTGTTTTATCATTTTAAAAGATTAGTATTTGTCCATTATTGAACTTGTTTAGGTATCAAACGTATATTACTACGACGCAGTACAAATATTTATTGGAGAAAAGAAAAAAAATATCATTACGAGAATAGAGAGGTAAGTTTAAAAAAGTATAAAAATCTTGTGCGTAGAAGACTAAACAAATCGACAGGAAGTGACGGTTGTCATGGGACATTGTTTACGGAAGGGATGTGTTTAACCAGCAATTGAGCAAAACTACTTTGTTTCAGTCCGTTTATGTTCTTACGAGCAACACTGTTGTTTTTGTTCGACTAAGAAGCTTCCGTTAAAACAAAATATGAAACTACATTTTACAATTTGAGTGAACCCGAACCCGCTCCGTAAACGTGACCTACCTTTACGACATGGCAGCGTTTCCGTCTCTCGCTGCTCCTGGATCAGTTGTAGTCTCAGACTGGCACCGATGTAAGGAGAGCAAGGAGTTTTTCAGCAAGATTCTGCAGAAAATGAGACGAAAAAACTTCGGTAGGAAATTAACGGTGTCTTCAAAACACAACTGTGCAAACCACACATTCACGTACGACGATTTTTGTTTTAGATTTAATTATATAAAGTGGACGTTTGCTTCACTTAACACTGGTAGTTTTTAGACATTAAACTTGTTTTAGGCGTCTGTGAAACTAAAATTAAAACTATATATATTTCCTGTCTTTCAGGCTTGTTGGAGTCCCCGGTGATGCCCCCACACGCAGCTGTGGACACAGTGGATTATAAGGTTTTTCTAACTGGGAAAAGTGGAGTGGGGAAGACTTCTCTTGCTGCACGTCTTGCAGGCCTGAGTGTCCCGAAAGTTCACTATGAAACGACAGGTAGGTCCCCGTTTTACAAAGAGTAAAAACCCTTAGTCACAACAACAACAACAACAACAACAACAACAACAACGACTCGGTAAAGTCTAACGTTTTCTTCTAGGTATTGAAGTGTCGGTCATTTACTGGCCGGTGAAGCTGCGGGACAGTGGTCGAGTCCTCTTCTTTCGCCTGCAGCTGTGGGACTGTGGAGACAACGCCTCACGGAGATTTGACCATTTACTCCCAGTATGTACTACAGTAAACTGAAAGACTCTCAGACAGTATTGTTAGAAGTACTACAAAAGTGATACCAACCGACTGTGTCGTCTCCTAGTCCTGTAAGGAACAGGTGGATGCCGTTCTCTTCCTGTTTTCCTTCACGGACAGGACGTCTTTTGATGACCTGTCCAATCAGATCACTAAGTGGACAGAGCCGTCAGTGTGTCACATCGTCAAGGTGGTCGTTGGAACCAAGTATCCTTTTGAATGAACCATCGTTCCGGTACAATCCTCTCTTTTGTTTTCCACGACAGTGCTCATGTGAGAGAAACGAAGTGTTACAAGATCCCGCCATTTGACTGTAACATATTTTACCTCCATTTTATTTGAGGAATGTAAACTATTTTTTTTGGAATACTTTTACATTTGTCAATTTCTTTCTGTCCATTTACTGAATAGTAATTCATTCACATTTCCTAACAGTGAATGTGTTATTTTTAAGAATATCGATCGGCCGATATTATCAGACACACAGTGGCTTGTACAGATGAATAAATAAATATTATCAGGCCTATATCTGTATCGGGAAATTAAGTGTGTTAAGTGTACAATATCGCCATATCGGATATCGGCGAAAATAATTAATATCGGACATCCCTAGTTACTCATCAGTATGATTATAATTGGGGTGTTTGGACTTTGCACAGTGGGACATACTTAAAGATTTAGTCAACAATAGTTTGGGCTCAACAACTAGCAACAACAAAAAAAGAAATTTACCAGGTATTTCACTCGATTCTTTATCCGTTAAATGCACCTCTCGTCCTTAGCGCTTCCTTCAGATATGACCTCTTCATGCACTGTGACGTCACGGAGAGAGATGTGCAGGATTTCCAGGAGACGTGGAGGTTACCGCTGCTGCGTGTGGGCGGGGAGGTCAGCGAGGGTCTGGGTGACGTGGCCCCCGTGTTGAACTGCTTGGCGGAACAGCTGTGGCACCAGGACTGCATCGCTGCTGGATCGACCTGCCGCCAAACACGGGAGAAAACAGTGACTCTGATCTGAACACCGGACACTGGAGCAGGAGGACGAAAACGTCCATGGGTGTTTACCTGTGAGCGACGACCATGGTGATGGTGATCTTCTGGAGACTGCAGTCTCTGAACGGCTGATTTGGGCTGTCCGATGCCTCGATATTTCAATATGTAACGATATATTTGTAAACACCGGACAATACGGCTTATTCTGTGTCTGCAACGAAGGGCATTCAGGTACCATTGGAAATGTGAGGATCTGACAAATAAGTTACTGAAACTGTTTGGAGCATCTGTGTGCAGGAAACTTTTTTTTTAATTCAAGGATAATTTTCCTTTCATATTATTTGAGTTTTTTTTTGTTTTATATACTTTGATATTACTCAGACTCTCATCTGTTAATAAAGATGTCTGTGTGATGTAAGAATTTGGTTTTTTCAAGGTTCTTTTGGAAAGAAATTAATCTAATTTGCAAAAAAAAAAAAAAAAAAAGATATATATCAACTATTGTTATTCAGCAAAAAAAAAAAAGATAACGATAATGAGTTTGAAAGTAATTTATTTCAATCTTCAACTTTTACAAATGTTAGATGCCGTGTACTGTAATAAAAATAAGAATCAAATTTTCTAAAAAAAATAATTAAAAAAACACATTTTCATGTTGAGTTGTATTAAAGGAAAAACTTTTTTTAATAAAAATAAATAAAAAACAAGCCAAAAATACTAATAAATCAAAAGTATTTACTCGACTAAAACGTTTCCCTGAACCGTGAGTCTGTAGTGAGTCTGGAGCTGCAGTGTAAAAACAGTCACTGCAGGAAACTGAAGTGCAGTTGAACTAATCACCAACCGTGTCAGTTAAAAGGATTAAAGTGCAGTGAAGTAAAAACTGTTTTTCCATCAGTGTGTGTTTGACAACATCTTCAACCAGGTGTCATTTTCTGACCTGAAGAGGTGGAAAATAACAGGAATTAATGACAACTCTTAGGAATTCCATAAAAACAAAAGAAGTTTTCAGCTTACTTTGTGTGCGTGACAAAAATCATGGCAGTGGGGTGTCCGGTTTGACTCTGTGACAGGTGCAGCAGAAAGGAGTTCGCAGGTAATCCCAAAATCTCGCTCTTGAGACGCTCGGTGCGAACGTGTCGGGGGAACTCTGCGTGATCTGTAACCAGAAACCGCTGGTCCCTGAAAAACATTCAGAGTCACAGAGGTCATCGCTGCAGGAGCAGAAGGTTTCCATGAACGTCAGTGTCTCAGTGACCTTTTACAGGAGATGATCAGGAGGTCGTTGAATAGGTGCAGGTGGACACTGGTGAACGTGGGCCTGGAGCTGTGAGCGCCCTCTACAGTGACCTGTGTCAGAGGACCATGATGCACCAGGAAACGCCTGCTTGCAACCAGAGGAATGGACTACATGGAGGTAGAAAATCTAACGTTTCTCTCCAACAGTGTTGAAGATGTTTGAAATGAAAGGAGAAAAAAAAAAAAAAATAGTCCAACCTTCACTTTATCAAAGTCCAGGAGCGTTTCCAGGGACACCAGCTCCTCGATCCGTTTCATTTTCCTAACGCCGTTGTTACACTCCGTCACAATCTGGGCAAAAAAAAAACAAAAAAGAAAAGAAACCGTTTCAAAGATGGTACCAGTGATGGTCAACAGGAGGAGCCAGTGAGTGACCCAGGGCGACACACGCTGGAGAACAAAGTCAAATAACCTCATGGATGGCCTGGATGGCTTTTTCCAGGTTGGACACCGACTCAGATTCCGGTTCGTTCAGCTTCAGAACGTTCTGCATGACAAAACACCAACGACGCCTCAGTAACAAAGAAATTCAGTACAAAACCAAACGCTTTCCAAAATCCAGACACCGACCTCCAGGAGAAGTTTCATACGCGTGATTCTCTGGAAGGGAAGGACAAGGAACGACTTCAGGTTCTGCCGCTGACACAGCGGGTCGCTCTCCAGCTTCTTCAGTGAACACACAAAGTCTTTGTTTTGCTGCCTTGTCGGGAAAAAAACAAAAAACCCAAAAACAATACAAATAGAGTGTTCAGTGAGAGAACATGCTGTGACCTGTTACTGCCGTACAGAGACGTACAGCAGCTGGTTAACCAGGGCCTCCTGGTACATCATGTTGGTCACATATGGCACGTAGAGACTGTGGAACTCGGGGCAGTGCTGGAGAACGATGTCTCCAACCTGGGATATCAACACACTCTGTCCCAGCCGCAGCTCCAGGTCCACGAGGAACCTGGAAAAAAAAAACAAAAAAAAAAACCCTCCACGTCAACATTACAGTCAACAGAAACAGGATAAACACGGAGGTTTTCAGATCTGCAGAGCTCACTTCTCACTGGCTGCTCTGATTGGACGGATGTTGGAAAATAAAATGTGGTGCTCCATCCGGGGCAGGGTCCGCCTCAGGGCCTTCGACGCATAAAAGTGATCGACGGCGACGCCGAGGCTCCTCAAGTAAGACGCCTCAGAGCCGATGAGCTCAAACATCGACTTCGAAAGAAAATTAGGAGTAAAATAAGGATTGAAGTATTATTTTACTGAAA